GTGGGAGACTTGGGTCTGGCAGAGATGGCAGAGAGCCTCCCTCTTCGATGCCCGTCCCATGCTTCGCCCTCCTGCCTGTCCCTTCTCTGGGGTCAGGACAGGAGAAGGGGAAATGTGTAGCTAGAGCTGCCCGGCTGGTTAAGGGTGGGACATAGATGCTGTGGACAGGTGCTCCTGAAGAACCGGCAGGCTAGGCATCCTTGGAGGAAGCAGGAGGATCAATGTTTAATCTATTTAGGCTTGACTGAGCAGGAGATGTGGCCAGTGAGGAAGGGGAAATTTTCCACTGCATCGTAATCACTTGGCATCGCCACTGCTGAACAACGCTTGCGAGGGAGGGGGCCTGGGCACCCAGCTGCGCGCATCGGGCACGTTGGGCCAGGACGAGCAGGCTGCTCCCGAGGCCCGCGGGCCCCGGGGGGAGCCACGAGAGACAGAGGGGCAAGGCTGGGTGTCGCTCCTGGGGAGAAACCTTGGCTGAAGAGCACAGGCGAAAGAGCATCCTGGGGGATTAGACCGAGCAAGCGTTCCTGTGATTATAGCTCAGAGGTGGGAGACGGGGCTTTCTTCCCACATCTGCTAATCACTTACCCAGCACTCTGAGCGTTTGATCTCTGCAGTTGTGCCTCCAAGCGGTACAGTGGGGGCCGGTCCCACCTTCCTCCCCCAGGGGATCTGACTGCATTGTGAGGTTTATTTCATTAACTCTGTGAAATGCTCCAGGCTCCTTGGCTGGAAGGTAGCACAGATTCGGCTCATTCCTGCAATTGCTAGGCAGTGCTGGGGAGAAATGGGGTCTGGTTTGGCCCTACTGTGTTGCTGAAGACCCACCAGCAAAGGACAAGGTTAAGCTGTAAGGGTAAGGAAGATAGGGAAGATACAAGGCTCAGCAAATTGATCAATCACGTAAAGGTCAAATCCACATTTGGAATATAACATACCGCTAGTAACTGTCAGTAAAATCCCAGGAGAAAAATCTCTGGGCTAAAGGGGAGAGCAAAAGCTAACCCAGGCTAACCAAAATATCACCAGCTCTAGCTCTTCCAGCTTTGCCTCTCTCCTTGCGGGTCGGGCAGGTGTGTTCATGCAGGTACAGGAGTTAAAATCCAGGCCTACAGATGTGGGCATCCTGCAGCGCTGCCATACGCAGCTCTGTATGTCCCGGGCACGGCTCCCTACCCCGCTGGAGAGCCCAGCCGGGGGCTGGCCTCATCCTTGAGCAGAGCGCTGGGCAGCCCTGCCTGCGGAGGGCGATCCTCCAGGGGATGATGCTTCAGCGCTAGTGAAAATGGTTTCCAGGCCCAATATCTGATCGCCGGAAAGGCATCGCTGCATTGCGCCAGCAGCTGTGCCATGCAGGGGCACAGCGAGGACCGGGCCACGAGGGGGACGTGGTGCTCCACTCTGAAAGCACAGCGTTTTGTTTTTTTCTGCATAAAACTGTGACTGTTTACATGTATTATCTAGGCGCAGATAAAGTTCTTGTCTGCCTCAAGCTACCACCCGCTCTCAGGCGTTGTGCTGCATTTGTCCTGGGACTCCCTGCACTTGGAGCCGAGGGGAGCGCGCAGGGCCCCCGCGCGTCGCCCATCCTGACCCCGTCCCCGGGGCCAGGGGAACAGCTGGCCTGGTGTCCCTCGCAGCCACCTTGCGCTCCCCTGCTGGCCCTGCCTGGCTCCTCCCCAGCCCCGGCTGTGAGCACTCTGGGGCAGCGGCCGCCTCGAGCCCTCCAGCTCTGATGCCTGTGGGTTGCCAGCCTGCGCCAGCTCCCTGGGCAGGCCTGGGAAGAGCCCCCAGCACCCTTCTTCTGCCCTGCTGGGGCTGCCCATGGCCCACCCCTGAGCTTCGGGAAGCTCCTCTGGAGCCTGCCAGCACATCCCCTCCCCTGCAGCCCTCAGCACGTGCTCCTGGAGCGCTAAAATTAGCTAGCCAGCTGTGTGGCACGCTTGCACAGGAGCCTCGGTCCCCAGGCACAGCCTGCAATCCAGGCTTGTCAAGGAGGCAACACCCTACATAGGGTAACTGGGCTAGAGCGGGCCACAGCAGGGATGGGAGCAGGAGAGGCTTTCCCCATCTCTCTGCTGGGAGAGCCTGCAAGGAAACCAGCGCACTAGGTAGCCTAAAGCCTGCGGCAAGGATCAGGGGTCTCCTCCTGCTGAGCCCGGCAAAGGCTGCCGGGGTGCGGCAAGTCCCCCGGCCCTGCTGCCCCTTCGCGCTCCCTTCCTTGCCGCTTCCCTCTCCAGCACCGGCCGACAGCACTTCACACCATGCGCCTGCCCTGTGCCCCTGCCCTCCCTCGTGTGCCCAGGGGCTCCCTGGAGGGCACTGGCGCTTGGGGCAGAGGAGCGCGATGGAGGAGCCGCAGCCTGCCCCCTGTGCCGTTCCTCTGAGATGCCTTTTGCTCCCACTCCCCTGCACAGCTCTGATACAGAGGCGGCAGAAAAGCAACTGTGGGAAGCACTGCAGCTGCGGAGGGAACAGTCCATTTTTAGCAGAGCAGCCTTCCCGCTGCTGGGTTCCCCGCAGAGCTGTGCAGGGATGCGCTTGCTCCTCATCTGGCGCAGCTCTGCGGCCTTCCCCCGGCCCCTGGCCCGGAGCAACGCTGCCTTACACCACGCAAACATCTTGGCCCCTGTCTTCAACAGAAAGCCTAACTCTCCAGCACTCACTTGCTGCCCTATTTCACACTGGTTGAGATCTGATAAGATAATTTGAACATTGCCCGTTTAAATTGCCAGTACTTTTGGGGGTGGAAATTTGAGCCATGAGCTAGGTCCCATACAGAAGTGAAGAGCACAAGGGTGCCACAGCATCTGAAATGCATGAACCCTACTGTAGGACTTCGCAAGCATCAGAGGTGACATATTGAGGAGCCTGTATGTTTTGGATGCTCCAGGCCTAAGCAGCACTGGAGGGCAGAGGTTCAGGGTCCTCATTTTGGGTGTTTCTATTCAACTTTGGGTGCCTAAAGCCTTTTCTGGAGCTAGGTTTAAAATTAGGTAAGAATTTTTTCTGAGTAACTCCTTTTGCTGGAGAAGTGTGGGCTGAGAGGGAGGACAGCCCTATTGAGAGCTGCTGGTAACCCTTTACTGATGGGACAAGCCACAGAGCCAGGAATAGGCCCACAAAGGCCTGAAAACAGAGCCAGCTTTTCACCCTGCATCACGTTTTTTTATTAACCCCCACTAGCGGTTCTGGCACCTACTGGAAGCCTATTTTCCACTTCACGAGTGTTTTCCAATTGTGGCACTTCACAGACATGAATGATTTCTGCCCTGCAGGCCCCATGGGAACTAATACTATTCCCAGGGCCCAAAATGGAGAAATGAAGGCCTAGAAATAGCAAGCACCTGGCCCCAGGTGCACCCTCGATTAGACCCCAGCGCTGGGCAGGGAAGGGGTTTCCCAGGCTTGCGTGTTAGCCTCAAGGTCAGGCTGTCCCCACTGGCACCCGCGGGACTGCCGCCTTGCAGCAGCCAGAGCCCACGTTACAGCCAGCGAACGATTTTTCTCACAGGCACGCACTAGCTGAAGCGCTCTGCTCCCACACTAGTTGTGACGGTCGGGGAAAAAAAGAGCCACGACAGAAAAATGCAATCAGGTCAAGGCTCGGTGTGCTCAGGCAGCGCCACCTCCATGACGAACACCACCTCAGGGAGCTGAGCCCTGCCGGGCCACCCAGGGCCTCCCGTGGCTGCTGCTCCAGCGGGCATGAGCGGCGTGTGCGTGCATCAGTTTGGAGACGCAGCAGCCATTGCGTGGCAGTGCCCCCATGGCCACGTCCAGCCAGGCCCTGCAGCAGAGCCAGGCACCGGCCAACAAGGGCCGGGGTGGCCAGGGGCCGTGGCTCAAGGGCAAGGCAGCGGAGCGGAGGGGAGGGAGAGGCTTCCTTCCCTGCTTCCTTCCCTGCGTGACTCACCCAGGAAGGAGCCAGCTCACACTGTCATCACCAGCCCCCACCAGTGGCCTGGCACAGTCACCCACCAACGCGCTGCCCCCTTCCCACCTCTGACCAGCCTCCCAGGGGTGCTCCCGGGCCAACCTTGCTTGGTGGTTAATGCCATCCCCTTCCCTAGCCCGTTTGGAGGCAGTTCACCAGCTCCTGTGAATTTGGACACACGTCCTCCTGCAAAGCTTGACGGCGGGAACTGGGTCACATAGAGAGAAGATACAACCCCCCGCAAGTCACAGAAGTGCAGCTAATTCCCAGCTCCAGGGCATTAACCACTGGCCCTCCCTCCCCATTGCTACGCCTTGCCCGCCTCACCAGAAATGTTTCCTCTGCCACTGGACATGGCTTCCTCCCCTGGGCCTGACCTTGGCTTCAGGCCTCAGTGCTCCAAGGTCCTCCCCAGGGAGCTGGGAAGGGCTAACTGCTTTGGTGCCAATGCCATAAAGCTTCTGGCTGCAGCTGGGCAAACAAACCCCTAGCAAGCCGCCCCAGACATCCCCCTATTGCCCGCTGCGCAGCCTGTGCAAGAGCGGTGAGGGCAACCAGGATCCCAGCCTGGCGTCCTCCTGGGGAAACAGGGCAGTCCAGGTCCCCTCAGCAATGCACAAGGCTCCCAGCACTGTGTCCTTCCCTGCTGGGGCAGGTGGGTGAGCTGTCTTCTCCCTAGCTGCATTAGCGGTGTCCAGCCTGCCTCAGCTCTAGGCCTCCTGTGGGGCTAGTATGCCGTTCCTGGCTTTGCTAGCCACAGAGAGGCATTCTGGGACTCTGCGAGCCCTTTGCAGGATCTTGGCAGCAGTAACCACCCCAGCTTTATTAAACCCTCCTAGTTTGTTTACATCCACAAAATCAGCCCGGGCCAGAGCAGCCAGCTTTACCAAGTTATTCAACATGCAGTTTTCCTGCCTGTTGGACTCCCCTGTGTGCACATGAAGCTTTCATCAAGTGTGTGAAACGCTTTCAAAACCTTGAGAATGCTTGGCTGGGCAACTACTGCCTGGGAATGGCAACGGCTTTGTTCCACCTTAAAGGACAACAATCTCCCACAGAAGCAAAGCCCAGCTCCAAAGAAAGCTGTGAGCCAAGGGAACATTATTACTCCTGCCTCAGCTCCAGCAGCTTGAGCAAGCATGAGGATGGACATGTTCATTGCATCCCATACAGCCACCCATGTGACCCCACCGAAAACTCCTGTCATTGTTCCTGCTGCTCGGATGACCAGGGAGAGCAACTGAATTTACCTTGAGCAGCTCCTTGGGGAAGTCACTGCCTCCATTGAGCCCCTCCAAGTTGCCAATGAAGTCGGAGCAAGACATTCTCTTCCCGATGTTCTGGGGGAGCGGGGGAAGAGAAATGGGGGGGGTTACCTTTAGGCCAGGTGGCCAATGCTGGCCAGAGAAGGTTCCCACAGCCCAGGAACATGCCCATTCTCTGGTGCAGGGTGAGTGGCCAGCCAGGTCTCAGGGAGATGGAGGTGGGGGGGGGGGGAAGCCCCCTGCTTTGAAACCCCAGGAGTTTTAAAAACCCTCCTTTTCCAAAGTTCAGTGCTACCTTCCCTCCATGCCAGCCAGTTTCTGACTCCCATTCCTGCCCTCTCTTCCTTTCCCTGCCTGTTTCGTCTTATTTCCTCATCCCATCCCCAAATCTTCCAGCTCAGTGCATCTCCTCCATAGCCCCATTCTCTCCTTCACCAGCTCCCTCTCTCTCATTTGGGCTTTCTCCCCTTTCATCCACAGACACTTTAGGGTTGATCAGAGCCTTGTGGGTCCAGGGTGGACTCAACAGCCCCTGTGCCTCCTGCTCACGCAGCTCTATCCAAAAAAAAACCTGAGACCTGCAGTTCGGACAGTGGGGATCAAAAGGGCAGGGGACAGACTGGCCTGACAGCAGTGGGAACTTACGTGTCCATGAAGATCTGTGTTGAGCAGCATCAGGGCACAGGTCAGTGTGTGGGCTCCGTCTGCAGCGCAAGCACAGGACAGGTGATCAGAGCCCCCGGGAATCGCCCTGCAGTTGGGGCTCAAGCCACTCAGGATGTCAGGTGTGATGGAGGGGCTTTGGGTGAGCCCAGGACGGTCTGGAGCCCATTCCTCCCACCCTGAGCACGCAGGGGCACACCACAGTCAGCACAGTGCTGGCACCACATAGGCAGGTAGATAGGAGGCCAATGAATTAAAGCTGACCCCAAAACTGGGCATATAAACTCCCTCCCAACCCAGCAGCCCCTTCAGCCAGGCAGTGATGCTGGAACTAATATTGCACAGCTCCTAGCACGGGCAAAGTGGCAACGACACAGCCCTCTTCCAGCCAGACAGCCAAAAACTCACCTGCCCACAGAGCCAAACCAGGGCAGATTTCAGCATGTGAACACATACAGGTGCAAAGATGTAAAACATTCAAGTGAAATAGTACAACCTGGCTGCTTCCCTGTGCCCCACTGAGTGCTGGGCACCTGAGTTCTCTCACCTGGCTGTTCCCTGAGGCATGGATCTGAAAGCTGGGTCTATGTGGTGAGGAGGGCCTTCTCTCGCCTCTGGTACTAATCTGCTCAAGGTCAGAATTAAGGTTGGATTGAGCCCTAATTGTGCATCTTCAGCCTGGAGCAGGTTTTAACAAAACTACCTTAAGTGCCTGTAGTTTGGGGGAAATGATGGCATCACTGTAACAGGGGCTTTTGCCTAAGGCATTAGTACATGCTCTCAGACTGCTCTCTAGTTTTAGTTCAGGCACCTTCACTGAGTTTATGAACACAATCATGTGTAGAAACACACAAACACACACACACACGTGCACACACAGAGTTTCTTACCCTCAGAAGAGATGGCATTGGGATTACACTCAAAATAACGCTGGGAAAAATGAGCCAGCACTCGCTCTCGCTCTTGCGTCTCTCCCATCAAGGCCAGCTCCTTTAGAAAGGACCTGAAGAAGCAGCAGCAGCAGCATTGGTTGCACATCCAGTCTTCCAGCAGCATCTCTAACCCACCCTGGGCAGAAGTGGAACTGCCCTTTCTGTCCCCTCCTGGAGACCCCATGTGTGACATGTGAAGTCCTGACTTCTCATATCCCTCCCAGCCAGCAGCAGGATTCCCCTCCAAGCCCACAGCACCATACACTGCTGCACATCACCCAGACTTACATCAGGCGCTAGGGACTACACTGGGGAACGAGGTCAGGTTGGCACTGGAAGGCTCTGGGCTCAAAGACTGGCAACTCAGTCTTAGGTGAACCTGACTTGCATGTGAGCCAAGACCAGGGATGCTCTTCCTCGGTTGTGTGGTGGGGAACGCACTTTGGGAAAGGAACCCTGCTGGTCAAGAGGCAAGGGGATCTCCAGGTGGGAGCAGTGGGGCCTGCTCCTGCAGATCTCTGTGTGGGTGAGGAGCTGCACAGGGCATGACCTGCTAGGACCCACTCAGGTTGCCATGGCACATGCACACAGGCATACACATACAGCTCTGACCTGAGAGCCTGGTCCAGACTCATCCCCGTGAACACGAAGAACTTCAGATATTCCCCTGCCACCATTTTGCTGAACTCATTGCTGAAAAAGAAAGGAGGGAGCGAGAGTGGGATTGACCAGACTGTGGGGACAGCAATGTCCCTACAGGATGATGGTAGGGAGGGATGGAGTGGGTTTCAGTAGGCTAGGTACCCCCCAGGAGACATGAAGGCAGGGGTGTGGGAAGTGCACTGTGAACAGGCGCACCACACAGTTCCACAAAACTCAGAGGAATCACCCACAGATCCAATGGGATCATTCAGCATGTAAGAGAAACCGGAGAAGACAGAGTTGTAAGGGCCCAAGAAAGCTCACCTAGCCAGTCCCCTGTCACCTTATGGAAGGTGTCCCCACCAAGATGCAATCATGGTAGAGGCTACAAAAGATGTGGATGTCTCTTAGGTGTTAAGACCTACAGAGGGAACACCTGGTACAGGTAGGCTGCTGTAGGGAGAGGGCTTTGGGGTCCCTCCAGCTATTCTTTGACAACCCACTGCCATGCAAGGGCAGCTGTGGGTACACCAGCGGTGCAGGCGGGTGGAATGACAGCCTTGCAGAGCAGGCCACTCCTTGCGAATACCCACACGTACTTCTTCCCCAAGTGGCGGGCCACATCTGCTTTTTTAAATCCATCCAGGTTGTAGAGCCTCTTGGCGAGGCGTTTGGCAGCCTCCAGGTCAGCCTTGTGCCCATTGGAGAGGGTGTCCGTGCTGCCCAGAGCAAGCTGCTCTATGCTGTCCATCTCCGAGTCTGAGTCAGAAACCAGCTGGCTCAGGGGGTGGTTGCTGCAATGGAAACAGACACTTCGCATTAGTCTGCCAACAGATCCTCTGCTCTTTCATCCTCACAAGAAATCCAGGCTCCTCACTCTGCTGGCACTCTGGCCAGCTACTCACTGCTGGGGTGCGTTATGAACACTATTGGTTAGAGATGCTCAGAGCTTGGGTCTAGGCCCTACGGGAAGGTTTGGAGATGTGGCTGGAAGAGAGAAGAGGCGACAAGACAGTTCTAGTGAATGACGACAGGACCAAGTGAGCTAAAGCCATTTCCAAATTGGATGCAGAGAGACAGGAACCCTTTGCCTGGACCCATCCTGTGAGCCCTTCCTTGCAACAGGTCTCTGGAACAAGAATGCTGACCACATTGAATTTCAGACGTGTACTATCTCACTTCTTGCCAGTAGCCTCATTCTCCCTTCCAGGCCTACATCCTACTGAGGAAAGGCTTGGTGGTTCCCTTCATGCCTGGCTGAGGATGTCAAACACTCTACCCAGTGGAGAAGACAAACGTCAGGACAAATACCCAGAGCACGGAGCATGATGGTCATCAAGATATATCTACTCTGGAGAATGGGAAACTCACCCACTACCTCCCAGCAGAGGCCCTGTCTAGAGAGGAAAAGCCTGCACGGGCTGAGCTGAGACCTCCTCTGGGGACAGATCATGGCCATCATGGGGCTTCTCGCTGCCATTAGCCAGAGCTTTTCTTCCCGAGCTTTCCAAAAGCTTCTCCAGGAGGTCCATCATCTTTGCCCCCTCACAAGTGAGGAGACCAAAGCAGCAGTGAGGTGACTAGCCCTGAGATGACCAGCCCAAGGTCATCCAGCATGCCAAGAGCAGATTCAGAAATTGAATCCACATCTTCTAAGCCCCAGGCCAGAGTCCGGTCCACAAACTATGCTTCCATCCTCTAAAACGGAGGCAACAAACAGCTGCTGGTCCCTCAGGTAACTGGTGAGGCTGGAAGGGGAGAGACTTATCTTCACAGCTCAGACCTCCTCTCTGCTGCATGCCAACCCTCTGTCCTGTGATGGACTCCAAAGGCCTTACAGAAATTGCCCCAAACTCCCCCACCCTGCAGCCATAAAATGTCTTGTGTGGGCTGAGGCTCTACCAAGCTCAGCTGTAGCAGAAACCTCCCTCCTCACCCCAAACGCCCGCTATTAGGCCCACTTCCAGCATCCTTGTTGCTGGAGGGCCAGGGTACACATTTCTGCAGCATCTGTGCCCCAGCCCCTTTTTTCCTGGCCCTCAGAGCTGCTGGCACCAACTACCACCTCAACCGCTCTGTGCTGGAAAATGCCACCACAGAGCACTTCACAGGTCTCCCCCGACTGCCCTGGAACTGCTGTGCTATTTCATCTCACCAGGTCTTCACAGGAAACGTTGTCCCTGCTCAGAGGCTGTAAGGATGTTGCTGTTTGGCTATGGCAACAAGGCGGGATGCTCTGAACTACCTGCTTGCTCCCCCTGCAACTGTGGCCTGCAAGGTCTGGGCATCCTTCAGCTCCCTCCGCGTGCACATCTGTGAGGAGCACCCCGCCTGGCAGCCACCCACGTGCATCCCGTGCTGTCCTATACATCTGCACTCATTTTTAACCTGAACAGACTCCTGGTGCTGCTCTTTTGAGTGCAGTTTCTACTCAAGACAAGAATACTATAATTCCTTCCCTTAGCCTTTCCCATCCGCTAACTTCCAAGGACTTCACAGAGGGGAAAGCTGAGGCACAGAGAGGGCAGACTAAGGAAAACACCCCTGGCCTCCCACCCTGCAGCATAGTGTACCGTCTTCTTCAGGCTGCCCATCCGCTCTCACCCCACCTTGCCTTAAAAGGCCATGTTAGCTCGCTTGGCTGAGCCTCCGAAGCAGTCTGACTCAGCGGCACACAAGTTATCCCAACAAAAACCAAGCAGAATCTAATCAACAACGAACATTAAGCAACTTTGACCTCGCCCAAATTTTCTGGCAGATCTCGCAATGTTCCAGCCTGATTTATTTTTAAAAGTCTCTAATTGACTTTTAAGAGGCCTACTCTCCTGAGCCAATTACACAGTCCAGTCTCCTTGAGACTCCACTTCTTCCACTAAGGACGAAACCTCCTCGCTGCTCAGCGCTGGCCTCCCACGTGGCGTTTGCAGCTGGGGCGCAGCACGTCCCAGGAGAGCTCTACGTCACAGTGAAAGGCTGCCCTTTCTGTTTCGGGGGCTCTGGCTTGCCTCCTCCTACCTGCTCGGCATCCCCAGTGAGCTGGGACTGGGGGAAGCTGTTCTGACTCAGGTCCGTGGACCAGCAGACAAAAGCGGCTCCGACTCCCTGTGAGTCCCAGGGGAGATGCACTGGATGCGGACCAGAGCTGAGCTTGCCAGCGCTGGAAGGCGATTGCTGTGAGGTCTGGATGGGTGGCCAACAGGGAGATCTGGCTCCCACTTGGCTCCACACTTCCTGAGGGAGCCTGTCCCTGGCCTCATGCCACCTTCCTGGGAGCAGTCATGAGGACGGCCTTCGGGTCGGGTCTGCCTGGATCCCCCTCCTGGCCCCAGGCCAGCGTGCTCCAGAGGAGATTTTGGCCGTGCCTGGCAGGAGGCCTTCAGGGTCGCTGTCTGTACAAACAGCACACCCTGCCTTGTGGGCACCCCTCCAAACGCCGGGAAGACGTGGCTTAGTTTTGTGACATTGAAACCACTGTATAACACAGATCTGAGACTGCGGTGTGGCTCTGGGGTCAAGCGGCGGGAACAGCTCTCGTCCGCCTGCCTAAAATGTCTCCTCCTCCTGCCCAAATAGGACAGCTGTGTCCCAAGGTGCGGCTGGAGTGGGCCCCAGCACTTGCCATCCTCCAGGTGCCCCCAGGAGCAGTGGCTGGCAGGGCCAAAGCCGCACTGGGGAGCGCTTGACAGCGAAAGAGGGTGGTGCTGCCGGGCCAGCCCTGGGCACATACCTTGGCCATGCTTTGTCTCCCTGTGCGGATGTAACCACTGTGCCCTCAGCCAAAGAACAGGGTTTACAGGCTATTTTTGCTTCCCAGGAACGCTGAGACGAATCCACCCAGCAATTGGCACTCACAGATCACGTTTTGTGGTGACTGTATTTTCTTTATAAGCTGGAGCCTGCTGCAATCACAGGGGCCCTGGGGGCCGTCCCCTTCCCAGCCTGGCAGCTCCAGGATTGCTCTGCCTGCCGCAGGCTGAGCTAGCAAACCCAAAGACACTTCTCCACTGCTCCCCTGTGGTCCAGCTGGACCTCCAGAGCAAGCAGCTGTGCTGTCACACTCTGAAGACCTCTTAACTCTTAGCCAATATCACTGAAAACTCCTGATATCCTTTTGGACCTTGCCTATCTTCTCCGAGAGGCCATGTGGCCCCACACAGCTGGTAACCGTAAGGTGCCTCCTGTGGCAGACGTAGAGCTCCAAGTGTCTCTCCATGACCTCTCTTCTCAAGCTGCGCTCTTCAGCTTTCCTCTCAAGTGCTGAGCACCCAGTCATGGGCCATCTACAAGGACTTCTCTGCCCTTCAACATCTGTAGCTCCTGCAGGTTCCCAACCTGCGTCTGCGATTCTTGCCTTGCCTCTTGAAATAGGTGCGCAGGGATCACAGCTTGCTTCTTAAAGTTGTTCTTCCAGCAGGGTCTGATGTCCCCTCCCTCACTAAGTCACCATTCTGATTTTGGCAATGCATAACCTTATACCTGGGATGGAGCACTACCCTATACAAGTGAGCCCAGACTCCTAGCCATGCCAAGAAATTCATGTGTTTTCTTCTAATGCTCAAGCCACCATCATGATGTTAAATAAGGACCATCAGCCTTGAATAGTCTGGGAGCGCTCACATTCATGACACCTGTCTGTCACCTCTCAAAGTCCCATCTGGGGAAAAAAAAAAGAACAAAAAAGCAAGAGCCCAGTCCTCAAGCAAATGTGGAACAGAGCAAAGAGCAACTGAGGTGATGCTAATTTTCCTGCCAATGACCTAATGTGTTGAAGGATATATTTTTTTAAGTGTACTTTCTAAAGTGACATTCCAATTTGGCTTGAAGAACCACTGAGATAATATTTTTACATCAGAAATATTTTCAGCTGGAGAATTGGCCTGTACTTAAAGAAAAAAGATCAAATTTGGTGTTGTATGGCATCCTCAGTGCGTCTGAAATTAGTCATCTCAGAGCTGACCCAATGCCTGTTCAGCACTGCCCACCCGCCCCGCAACGGGGCTAGCCCCTGCACCCCGCCGCATCCTTGGGCGCTCCTGTGGCAGGCTCTGGCTCTACGGGCTGAAGGGCTCAGGCAGATGGCAAATAACCCACGTTTGCCACACTCGGGCTTGTCCATTAGAGATCCCACATCCCTAGGGCCGGCGACACCGGCAGTAAGTCTCAGGTGTCTCTTTAACACTGCCATGAGACCTAGCTCCGGCATTGCCCCCAGTGCGCCTAGCATGACCTGCTGCCATGGCATGGAGGCTCCTTCCTGACCCCTCCTGCTCCCACTCAGTGCAAGGACATGGCTGCGCTTGCACCTGGGGGCAGGCTGAGAGCCCAATGCCCAGCTCCCGCTGCCACCAGGCATGGGTATGCCTTTCCAGGCCCCAAAATGCTCCTCCTCGGGAGCCCACATTCCTCTGAGGGGCCCCAGGCAGTCCTCTTAGCCCCAAATCCTCCTGCTCTGGGATCAAACCCTCCTTTTCTGGGCCCGAACACAAAGAGGGGGGAACAGGCAGGAGTTCCCTCAAAGGCCATGTGCCATGCCAAGCACACCATCCCTCATCCACACTCTGTCTCCTACTTCAAGGGCAATCTCACCTCAGTTCCAAGACCTGCTGTGGGGAGTACTGGCCATGCCAGCTGCCCAGAGTCCACCAAAAGACCTGAGCACCTTCCCATGCTGGAATGGAGTGTATCACCACAAGACACTCTCCACCTTGCTTCCGTGAACCCAGGCTCATCCGGCATTACGTTCTCCCAGGGGCTGTCAGCAACCAGGAACAAATCTCTCCTGGACAAGAGGCAG